TAATGTAATGGAATGTAACGTAATGCAATCTATTAATAATGTAATGTAATGCAATCTATCAATAATGTAATGTAATGTAACGTAACGTAACGTAACGTAATGTAATGTAATGTATGTATGGATGAATGCATGAATGAATGACAGGACAGGAGTCTAAGATGGTTGATCTAATGTATGAAACAACCATAAACTGCCTTGTTGAGGTCAACACCTATATATGTCCTTTCTTCACCAATCGCATGAGCACGTGTTCAGACGCGGGTGTGCATCACCATTCTGCTTGAGCAAGGTTGTGTGTGTGTCCACGAATGACTTCCTCAGCTCGCAGTATGTGTTTTGTTTCCGTGTGTTCGCGGCTTTTTGGACACCTGTTGTTCCTTCCAGGGGTTGCAAAACCGGGGTGGTGTATCCACGGGTTCTGGTCTAGTCAAATCACCTAGCAAGCATCCAAAAACCAAAAACCATCGTTTGCCACCAGTCAGGGCTTTGCTTGAGGACAGGTGCTTTTGGAAGAAGGATCATCTTCAAACACACCAAGCATCCACAGATGCTGGATATTATTTCAGAACCAACAACTGTGCTTGCCACAACCTCCAAGATCCTAAGGAGTCTTCACAAACCACCCCTTGCATCAGGTTCTTTGTTTTCCATCAGTCTCCGTCTTGAAATGTATAGTATGGTATGTTCCCCTAGCCCTCCAAGACCAAAAGAAAGCTTGACCTGGCTTTGTAGTCTAAAATCCTTAGGAACAGAATGGTTGTTCAGGAAACACCACTCAATCAATTGTTGTTAGAATTTGGTATGTCCCATCGGTTTGACATCACAAGCAGATGCCCATGCCGCCCTTCCTGAGGGGTATCCTAATTGGCTTGTGAAGTGGAGCCAGAGCCCCAAATGCCAGGAACATTGTCAGACAACTCCAAATGTGCCATGTTTGTCCTCTAAAGTTGAGGATGATGGCACCTGTGTTCCTGCCTTAGATCCATGAACTCTTCTGCAATTGAATTTGCACTTTGCTCAACGCTTGTGACCATTGTTGTTATCGAAGTCGGTGATCTAGCAGAACTTGGATTTGTCTCTCCCCTGATCATCTGAACTCTCCATCTTCCTGGACAGACACTCGAAGACCCTCAATCCTACTTCGCTACTTAGTTGACAAACATGATGCATGATGAACCATCCGCCAGTCCACGTGTTGCCCAGACGAACATCCGCCCACGGCCCACACGTTAGCATTCCGAACGGCGAACACGGCGAGGACGGGATGCTTCCCTTGCACCTGGCAGCTCAAACGGGGCTTGGGAGCCCGGCCTGAGTGGCAAAAAGGATATAGTGCACTAGCGAGTTGGGCGCACATGGAGCTTCAAAAGCGTCCTGTGGACGTAGAATCACTAAAGGTCCCCAGCTAGCAGAATAGCTTGACATCAACGAAGCATCTGGATTTTCGATTCATCAACAGAGTCGTCTCAGACGTTGGTGGACATGCCTGAGTCCATGTCATTTTCACCACTTGGAGCGGGGTGTCCGTGCCCGGCCCGACCGGGCCTCGGAACCAGGTTTGGGAAGGGAGCAGGTATCCAGTTGAAGTGACTGTATCCGACTGGTCCACCTGGGCGAAGTCAGTAAAGACATTGTAAACACCAAGAAATGCGGTGAAGCATCCCTCAGCAATTCTCCACCATTCGCATCCGATCCTGAACCGAAGAGCCGAACTCGTCCCAGCTGCGTGCCGAGGCACACGCAGCTCATCGAGCTCATGCTGAAAGCAGGCTCGTTGATCAACGCCGAGGAGCCCCCTGCAGCGGCGCCCAGCGGCCGCGCGTGACCTGCCAAAACCGGTACAACTATAGGTGTGCGCAGGTCTTTTCCCCGGTTCCTGGGTGAATGACTTCTGGGGAGTATGTTTTTGTTGACCTGCTGGACAGCCAATGCATGTGGAGAATCTATGGAGCACAAAAGGGATGCCCAGAATGATGAACCTCGAACCTTCGTTCCCCTTCGTTCACAAGTGAACGACGCCATGAAGACGAAGGGGGTTCACCCGCCCGCAGACCTCAGGTTTTCACTGATTTTCAGACCTTTGGGGTTTCACTGATTTTTCCTTCGTGCTTGCAGACAGTCTGCAGTGTTTGTCTCTCGGGGAGATCTGGATCTGCATGGCTTCCTTGGGGGGAATCAATTCATGTGGTGGATTCTGAACTCAACACTGGCCACTTGCTTCTTCAAAGCGTTGGCACTTCAAGTGTCATTCAGCTTGTCCATTCATGACCTTTTGAACAGAGTCGCCTTATCAAAAGACATATACGTAGTACGTATACATGGTGTAGACAGTGTAGAGTCTACTTCGGCATGCTGCCGGAGACGCCCTCGCCGTCCAGGGCCGGTCACGGCCGGAACCGTGGATCGAACCTGAACTCTGCGGTCGACCATGGAGCAGGAACTTATAAAGACAGGAGGGGCTTGAATATCCCTGAAGAGTCTCAACGTGAGAATGCGTGGAAAAAACCAGCACCCACCCGACTTCAGATCGGTGAGTGTTTCTCCAGGTGACCGGGAGAAAGCACCACTTAAGTTAGTCTCCCCAAACAGCCTGGCCACGAGGGCCAATCTTCAAGTACCGAGAAGGTTTTGAGGGCCCCTGACACGCAGCTTTCAGCAAGCCCCACACGAAGCTGCGTTGAAAGCAAGCAGCTAAGCAGGGGCCTTTCAGCTTGGACCTTCCCAAAAAACAATGAACTGCCTGGGGGTTTTCCATCGATGTGACCTCCTCTACACCCACGGGCAGTCCGACCGTGTTCATGCGAAGCCGAACGGCGAAGCCTTACGCGAACACGGCAGGATACGGGCGAAAGGTTGGCGGTGCACATTGCCATGCGGAATGGCCACTTCCAGACGGCGCGGCGGGCGCGTGACATCGGTGTTCGGCGGTGGTGGGGTGGAATCGAAGAGTTGGCTTGACTTCACCACCTCGAGGCGGATCATTGATCTGGCGGATCAGTTTGGAGGTTGGAGTGGTTGGAGATCGCTTCACCTAGCGACCCCTAGCCTTTTCTGACAGGTTCTGCAAGGAGTTGATTTCCTGGAGACCTTCCAGTAGAGATGTTCCTTTTCTTTGCAGTCGATTTCCAGCATTATTGACTTCACCAGCACCTGTTTGGAATTTGGGCTTCCTGGTTATCCTGGCGAGGCCATGCCATCCACGTATTCCACCATGATGATTCCAGAGAGTGTACACTGTACACTCCGACTCACGAACAGGGCAAATGGACCACCACCCTGTCAGGGTATGAGGAAAACGGTCTCAGACGAGGGGGGGTCATGCCATCCACATACGTTACTCGTACGTGCGACGTGTTCGTCAGAGCTGTCAAGTAAAACTTGAGGTAACTGGACAAGGCCGAACGCACCATAACACAGCCGAACGGACCATACCAGGACCCTCAAAGGGGTGTCCAATGGACTACCCCACACTACCTATAGGCTTCCATTGGGCACCCCTTGGAGGGTCCTGGTAGGTCCGTGGTTTTTGGGCCTCGAACTGTGGGACAGTTCGTTCTTGAAAGCCTCTCCTGCGATACCATCTCGGAGATGCTGCGACAGCTTGTGGATGGAGGTGAGAAACCTAAGAGGTTTCAGAAAAAACATCGGCCAGAAGAGTTCATGATGTAGATATTTTTGTTTTGTCTGAGAACCCCCACCAATTTGGATCACCAAACAAGAACCAGCTATGTGCGCTTTTGATTTCATCGAGAATCTACATCGATTTGGGCTTGGCGCACGTATACGCAGTATACGCATCTTCAGATGCCATAGAACCCACCGCATGGCGACCTCGCTCGAACGGCTCAGAAACACTGGGGTCGGGGGGTCCGCACCATGCCCTGACCCATTCAAGCTTCAGGCGGAGTCGGACACCAACATCACCCCTTCAGCAAAACAAACCCGATCCTCGGAATCCTCGGTGGCCGTTGGTTCAGGCGGCCTTCCTGAACGACCGTTGGTTGGACTCGGGCAGCAACAAGAGCTTCGCCGGGCGCTCCCGGAAGGTCGGGCGCCGCGACGAAAGACGGCGGGGTGAAGGTCTCATGACGGGGAAAGGCAGCCCGACCAAGCGCTTTGGTCCCTGCAAAAGGCCCAACATGGGTGAGAAAAACATAGAAAAACCACCATAAATATTGGGGTCCATGAGCATTCTTTTTTGGGCCATGACCATGTTTGTTTGATTTTGGGTGGGGAACAAAGTGAATCTGTCATTTGGTTGTCAGGTGATGTGAACAGGGAGCCGAAAGATGGAATAGAGCAACTGCTTTGGCATCGATTGTGGATCTTATTAATGACCTAGAAGGTGCTCTACCATCCACTACTACGATATACTACGATAGTGTTTGTCGATGATGCTAAACCAATGCAAGGGACTAGCTGCTGAGTATGTTTCAGAAGATAGCCGACAAAACCTCAGGTTGATGTGGAGTCAGTAGTCTTGTGTCGGTGCTTGTTGTGCACAACCGTCGATTCAGCACAGTGGTTGCTGGTTCAATTGGGCTTAGAATTCACGGAATATCAAAAACTACTACAGGCACATGGGCCCGAAGCCCTCATGGGCCCTAAGCCCTTGGGCAAAAAGAAAACAACCTCAAAACGTGTACAGAATTGTATGTTTGATCGATTTTTGTATGTATTTTTTTCCTTTTTCAAACCAATAGTGAGTACTGCACCCATCACAGCGCCCCATGTATTTAACTGTTCGTGCCGTTCCTTTGGCTCAAGCCTCGCTCGTCCCGGGGATCCGCGGTTGGCGCTTTGGCACGACTGATGTGGCTGTGAGTCACCCAGAGCCCCAAACCAGGGTAGGTTGACTATGACCCACAGCCATTTTCATGTGCTTTAACCAGGATCCCCCATTCTTCGGGATGCTTGATAGACCCCGGAATCACTTCTATAAGGGGCTACTTGATGGAGTCCCTATGCTCATTGGGTGGTATATTGACATATATATATATATAGGCCTAGGATGAATGTGTATTGTTGCATTGTTGCTTCGAATGCTCAACTGTATTAATAAGCCTTTGTAGCAATCTTTGAATGCCCTCTTTTACTCAGGGAATCTGGGAGTACTCTCGGCCGAAGGGTTAAAATTTCAGGGGCGTTTTGAAGCCACTCGGACAATGGGTACAGTCGTACCTGCTTTTCTATAAGGTACGTCATGTCCCATTTTCGAAGGTACTTGAAGTCGGGTCCAGGTACTAGTAGCAAGGACGCTATGAGGTGGAGGCCATCGCTATTAGGTTGGAGGCCATTACCACGAAGGGAGCAAGGACGCTACTAGGGGCTCCTGGCCTTACTACTAGTAACAAGAAGCTACTAGGGGCTCCTGGCAATACAGACCTCGGGTCCAGGTCTTGTGAGGAAGGATCATCCACATCCGCCAGATCCGAGGTCTGGCAGCGGGTGCCCATGACGAGTCTCAGTGCCTGGATGGGTTTTGGTTGAAACGACAAAACACCGCGAGAAGATGTGTTTAAACGTTTTGTCAAGGACCGGAAGGTGTTATCTATAGAGGTGTTTATGGATAGCACTTCGATTGCGGAAAACTGAGAACTTCGAGGTTGAACTGGCCGTGATGTTCCTTGTTTGTCCATTTGGATTTCTATATTCATTGTATATACTGTACTTTGGCCGGGGCTCTACATCACTCAGTTCTTGCACAAATAGACCCTGCGATCTTTCTGCGGTTCTTTCATTTTCTCCTTTGCATCCACCTCAACAGCAAGTCCGAACTGAGGTTGTTTGATAGCTTCATGTCTCTTCATCAGCTTGGATTTCAGTGAACATGCTGCCTGGGCGTTGCGGCAGAGCGAAATGGCAGGGATGGGCTGGCACGGAGCGCCCTTGAAGCCGTTGAGTTGGTTCGACAAGTTCAAACTGCTCTTTCCGGAATGGATTCCCTGGTGGGTTCGCCCACACGGGTTGGACTTGAAGCAGAGAGAGGTGTCCTACTTGATGGAAGTGAGCCTTGGCTTCGATCTCGAATCCGTTCGGGCGGGAGAGGTGGGGGGGTCCTATGAAGTTTGGATCAGCTGCAGGTCACTTGAGCACCGCAAGAGACCTCCCAAGATGAACTAAGTAAGCAGGAACGTAGGAAAGTTATACGACATAGGGGTTTAATCACATGTATTTTGCTGAGCTCACTTGTTTGGGAGTTCTTGGGGCACCTCTCAACAAGAACGAGCTTGTTCATCCGGCATCGGGGGAGTTTTTGCTGTGGTAGTATGGTTCAAGCTTCAACCGAAGTCCTATACTATTTTCCACTTGCATGATTGTTTCAGGGAGGGTAGACCTGCAAAGAGGAATGCATTGAAACACCCTTGGGCGTTGTGCTACGAGGCCAGCAGACCAGATCACGTATCACCGATCCGAATGATGCTGGAAAGACTAGGATTCCTACATCATGTATCATTATCATCATGTTAGATATGTTAAATCCTTGTGAGCTAGGATGGTTATATAACATGATGTGTTTTTTTTGATCCCTTGATTTATGCGAAACCTGAGCTCGGACACGTCCGGAACCCGTTTCTTCCAAAAGCTTTCGTTCTTCTCGTTTGTTCTATCGTTGGAGCGGACGTCCGGACGTCGGACGCCGACCGTGGTCCTGGTTTCCGGCGCGGTCCGACCCGGCCAATCACTTGGGCAATAGCAACTCATCCGACTTGAAGCCAGAAATCAGGGGGATCACCTTCCCATACCTTCCCCCTTTTTTGAGGAAATGGCTTGTCCTCCAACCAATCCTCCATTTTAACCCACTTCCTTTCAACCAATGCGAAGGACTCAGTCCGCACAGATCGACGTCCGCTCCAGGATCGATCAGTCGTCCAGCGACGAAGGCTTTTGCACGCTGGTGGCTCGTAGCAGCGCGATCGAGTGTCGAATGGTCTAGAGGTCAGGTGTTTCAAGACCTGAATTTTTTAGGGATGGCATTCATTTCAGGGATAGCGTTCATTTCAGGGATGGCATTCATTTGGAACGTGTAAAAAACCACGACTCTATGACTGAGGATAGACAAAAGGACGTTCGGACCGACCTAGGTGAGACTGGACCTGTAGTTTTTGTTGTTCTGTCCGGGTATTTGGAACTTATAACGCTTCCAAAAACGCCACACTACCTATAGGCTTCCATTGGGCACCCCTTGGAGGGTCCTGGTATGGAGTGTCTCTAGATTGGTTTGTCAGCGACTGTTTGCTGCCTGAGGGACCACCTCCTACCGAACCCAGCGACCCACCACTTCTTCCTCCAGCCTTCAGGATTCAATTTTGGGTTGGTGGGGAGCAATTGAAGCAATCAATAGTAATCATAAGGTAACCTTAGTCTGAGCACCAAGATAAACCTGGTCTGATTGAGCCCATTGAGTACTGTGTTTACATGACTGGACCCTGAGGTTTGATCTGAGGTCGATGTGCAAGATCCCTCCCAGATCCCTAGCCAACTCACTGTTTTGGTTCAGCCCCCCTCAGGTCTTTAGAGAACGGGCTGCTTTCTTGAGGTGAAGCATTTCAGCAAGGGCAAGTGCACACCGACCATGACCTGTGACGAGTGCGTGGACGAGCGCATGAACGAAGTCATCGCTGATCACAAAGAGGAAATGAAGCTGCCACTTGCTGCTGCACACCATCCGACCCACCGGACCCACATCCGGCAGCCCTCGGGGATTCTCAACCTGTGGATGGTTATAAGGTCCGTTGTTTCGCATGGAAGTCACCTTCGCTACAGGTCAGTTTCGGAGTGCGAGTCCGCGTCCTGCGCGTGGTTCAGCGCCCGGGACGATGCGGTCCTTTTGCTCGTGTGAGACGATGCGGTCGTTCACCAAGTCTCATGGGGTGCACTCACGTCCCCAAATGACCATCCATGGCTTACGTCTCGGACGTTCTGAACGGGGTTTTCAAGGGCCGAGTCCTTGGGCGCGTGGGAGCCATGCGTACACACCAGCTGTTTTGGACCGGTCTGTTAACCGTTCATCTATCCCAGACACTCCATGGGACTATATGCCTATACTACATTGACCATATTGACCCCGGCGTATAGGTATAACGGTACATATGCCAGTCCCATTAGTCGTGTCTGGGTATTTCAAACTCACGTGGTGTTCATCTTTTCCAAGCGGTCCACGAGTTTGGGGTTCCAACGTCATGGAATCGTCCACGGCCATCCACGGGCCGTCCACGCGCAAACCATCCGAGGTTGCGAAAGAAGAGGAGGAAAAAGGAGGACAAACCCACTGCTGTCATCGTCCTAGGTGGCGTTGGGAGCGGAAAGCCCCTCGATACCAAATGGTGGGCCCGGGCGTAAGCGGCTTGCGTTTGAAGAGGTTTCCACCAGGCATTAGTCTATGAGACAAGAGCCTGGCTGCCAACACCTCCACAACAGAACCACATGGACAAGGCATGCATTCTGACGTAGCAGTTGTTTTTGATTGTGGTATTGGCCCGCGCCTAGTTTTTGGGTGGCCATTTCAGAGATCGGTTCTTGATTTTCGATGCAGTAGAACACCTGCTTGAGGTGCAGTGAAAAAAAGGGGGAGCCAGCCAGATACACTCAAGAGTTCATGTGAACAACCGGGCTTGCTGACCTCCTTGGATGAAATCACCTGGAAGTTGTAGAAATCGTTATTGAGTATACCAAGCACGGGTAGGTGATCACTTGTGACCTCACTGACTCACATGACCTCACTGACTCACATGACCTCACTATTGTGATTATGTTCCCTGTGTGGGGCCCAGCATGGCAAGGCGGGTCCAAAGCTTGAATTGGTGTGCGCTTCCAGCATACTGTTTGCCGATGATCCACAGAATTCATCTCCTTCACAGCCCAGTGTCCACCAAGTCCTGAAAACGTCCAACCTGATGTTTGTCCTGAAAGAAGTTCACACTGTATCCTGATGTCTACTATAGCTGTTTTTACTATCCATATCCATCCATTGATTTCCGGAACAGAGTTACCAGTGGACACTAGCTTCCACGTCAGCTTCCATTTGCCACGCGACAGGGTTCCCCCTCTCCCGAGCGAACGAGGACCACCTTCGTGAAGACCCGCTTGTGCCCTCGTCCGCCAGTCGACGCGGGTGGTGCGACGCGTACGCTCCACCCTGGAAGGGTCGGACCTGGTGGATGGGGACCGGACCATGTGGAGGGGACCGGACCATGTGGAGGGGACCGGACCATGTGGAGGGGACCTGGGGTTGAACCAATCCCTATATCGGTTTGGTTCGGGACCGGTCGGGCTGTGAACGGAGCGTCTGGGTGGTTAAAATGTACTTCGTTCTTCCCCTCAAATGAGGGCAGTGAAGTTGATCAGCTTTCCAGAACTTGTCATCCAAGCAAAACGTGTGCAAAAAAATTAGACCCTGGGATGGACCAAAAATACGTTAGTTGTTTGCATGTTTCCTTTATTCAACTTGATCATCAGTTAAGATTCAAAGTTCAATACAGGGCGATCCAAAAACACTCAAACACAAATTGTTGTGTTCTATCCTATGTCTTGACAAGGCAAAATGCATGTTTGGAACCTTTTTTGCAATTTCCAAAAACTCGTCGTGTGTTATTTTGAGTTCAGCGTCTTGAGGGTGGATGTCAATCAATTTGTATTTCACCACAAAACACATCATTTGTTCCTAGGGCTCCGACCATATCCTCAGAAGGTGGTTAGACCCCCCAAACCGACCCCAACCATCTTCTCAGGAGGTGGTTGGAGCCCTAGGGTTCTATGGCCAACTCCTTATATTTGGCCCACTTGTTCAACTTCCAACTTCTGCCCAAGGGACTTGGAGCTGGGGAAGGACTATCGAAACTTCTGGAAAACTGCTCTAGCGCTGAATGCAGACGACCTGCGCTCCGACCTACTGGGCGGATATGAAGCTTGGAGAAAGGCGGAGATGAGGCAGAGTGAGGTCGAGTGTATCATTTTAACTGTCTTAAGCCTTGCAACGGGGGGAATTGGCCAGTGTTTGGAGCAAAAACCTGAGATGTTTCAGCCATGGCCAGAGCGAACACCTGGCTCGGCCGAACGGTCTCGGGAGTCGTCCGAAGCACTCGCCTGGCCGCCTGGCGGCGTCAGGGAGGTCGGAAGGCGCAGGGACACCTTGGACTTTGCTTAAGACTCGCATGGCGAGACCAAGAGGGCTTGCCATGCCTCCGTGTCCCTTCTTTTGTGATATCCTGATATACAGAGAGACATGCTGCAGCTTGGTTTGGCCGATCGGATGCTGTGGGGGCGAAACGGATGGGTTTGGGTCACCGGCTCCTGGGTCGGGTCGGGGGATGTCAAAGAGATCAGGAATAAACCAGGGATGGTGGGTTTTGCACTACCTGCCACCAACAGATGGGGATCGGTCCACACCTGGAAAAAGACGACATGTCTTGGGACACCCTGCCAAATGATGTAACCTGAGCCAAGCTGAGTTCAGGAGGAGAACTTCTGAACAAGAAAGTGCGGACTGTACCACTTTCCGGCAGGAAACCCTGTGAGTTGTGTGACACTGTTCCTTTGCAGCTTAGTGGTGTTGTAGTTTTCTTTGACAGAGGGAGCGATCAACTGGTCGTCGGTGTGTGGGATCATAGCAGCAGAAACTCATCCAAACCCTGACCAACGGCTGTTCCTCTAGAATATCCAAGGAAGTTTATTCGGCCTACTTCACGCAGGCTTACTTCAAGGCCTTCTTGCGTCGCGCGGCTTCGACTTTTGATTGAAGGGAAGGAGTCATGCAACATCCTATACTATAACATGCATGGTATCCCAATGTATCCCAGACACTCCATTCACTCCATGTATGCTAGGCATATTAACCTATTACATTGAGGTGTTTGCCTCAGGGTCAATGTCGGCACTCGTCCATATATACGTGGAGTGTGCACCGGGTATTGCATAATGTTTGATACTGAGCCTTTTACAAAGTACCACCGTTTGAACTAGAATGACCTGTTCTATGTTTCTGTAACGGCCAAAATGCCTGTGTATGATTGTTGACAAGTTGGTATTCAAAGCGTTCAAAGGATCTAAACGAGATGTCATTCAGCTCGACGGTTGGTATATACCAATATATATACCACAGTAGATATAGTAGGACAGGTCGAGCATTGAACTGATACAGCTTAATTGCTCTCACGTGCGGATTCCAAGAATGGTGACATACTGTAACTGCTGACATATTTAGAATACCTCAAATAACACTTGTTGTACTGACTGGGCAATCTTGCGCACAATCAACGCAAAGGCATCATTGTGTTGATTGTTTTACATGGCCGGAGCTCATGAATCAGGCTGGATTCCTTCTTTCAGTGGTTTTTTGGGTGTGTGTGTGTGTGTGCCATTACCACTACAGCCGTCGGTCAAAGATCACTACTGTACTTTTCAGATGTCCTGCAACCATCATCCACAGGGCCATGGTAACGGGATGTAGGCTTTGGCCTCCAAAGTACCTTTCAACATGTGACATGATCCCATAAAAGCAGGTACTTGTACCATTTTGTACCCTTTTTTCCGAGGAACTGAGACTCCTGGTGCATTCAAGGAACAGCACCCAGCTTCCGGCAACCGCAAACCCGCCAACCGCCAGCCCCGGAAAGCCACCGTACGTCACGGTGAGCAGCGCAGGAGACCGAGCGGAGCAAAGCTGGTCCGTCCCAGCGAGTCTTCCAAGCGGGCAATCGCTTGCGGCGGGCGGTTCAGAACGATGCGCTGGAGCAGCAGGTGCCCCACCGGTGACGGACGTGCGAAGTGGTCTTCAGCAGATGCTACGAAAAAACGAATGCATGATACATTGTAAGGAGACAACACTGGTTAGTGATACTGCATCTTCAACTTGGGGGTAGGGGCATGCAAAAGTTCTCTTTGCGAAGTAGATCGAAGTAGTGGAGTTTGTTTGGTTTGCCGCTTGAGGTGAATCTCATCGCTGACTCTTTGACCCTGCCTGTCTTCGTGGCAGAGGAGTTCAAGAAGACATGCAAGGCCTTCAGTTGCCATGTCGAACAGCCGTGGAAGACGTAAAAAACGTCCGATCTCTTGTGGAAGCTGTATATTTTTCACACCCACTGATCGACGGGCAGCAGGGTGTTGTTCTGGTGGGTCTCCTCCCCAGGAGTGAGGATCACTATGTATCACCTGCAGATTACCCCCAAGGGGCAGGGGAATTGACCAGGATGGGTTCCCCCCACGAGCCAGTCTTCCCACGAGGGCTTTTGACAGCACACCAACGCCCCAAAAGTCGACTGAGCTTGTCCTGGAAGGCTGGACTCCTCAGCGGACCCTGATCGTCCAAGTGGTGTGCTGACCCTGATCGTCCCAACGAGGTGCTTTTGGACCAAGAAATACGCCAGGACAGAAGAGATGAGAAGAGAGTATTTCAGAAGAGTCGTTGCCCTCCTTTTTTTTCTTTCATGTTTTATCCGGTCCACCGGTTCAAGATGCATGTTTTATCGGAGCATTTTCTTTCCAACCCTTCGAAAAAGGAGCAGGCTGGGAGTTCAGGACAGATTTTTGCAGTGAGCAAACGCCTGACCTTCTGGTCTCAAACATTCCAAGAACTCATTGAAGGATGTTTGTGCTTTAAAACGGAGAGCCACAAAAATTGCCTTCAGAAACACCTTTTCAAGAATAACTGGTGTTTGACATTTGCAACTTGTTTTCTACATCTTAGTTAGCGCTAGATTGGTTCCAGGTTCTTTCCATGCATAGAATACCTCTTCATACCCACGCATTCACTCAATCACTCACTCCCTCGCTCACTCACTGTTAAGTCCCTGTGATTTCAAGCACTAACTCCGCGCTAGCACCGTGCGCAAGACAACGGTCTACTTGGTTGCAAACATGGCTTATTCATCCGAACCTTTCAGAGGGTCGGAACGCCTGGGAGGTCTTTCAATATACACACCCACATGTGGACTGAAACACGAACACCTCAGCTTCGTCGTACGAGGTGAAGGTCTTCTATATCGAGATTCCCGGAGCAAATTGGCCACTCGGAGAGTCAGGCAAGCAGGAACTCGTCTGGGATCTGTTTGAAGCATCTCGGATTTGTGGATTTGAGGCTTTTGCATGAGGTCTCAAGCAATCACCAAGGGACCTCAGGTCATTCTGGTTTGCTTTCTGGATAGTTGCAAACTCAGCTTCCACCGGCTTGGATTGACTAGTGAAGCGATTGGAAGAATTCAACTTTGACATTGAACTCATATCGTCCAAAGATCATTGAATCGCATCGCTAGGGAACCATACACATTCCTCCAGCCCCGCAAATGCTATGAGCCCTCAGATTTGTTGATGGCGACATACAGCAACTAGATTCACTCAAAGACATCCTTCGCATTCCATTTCCAGGACCCCCAAGTCATGTATCTATCAGTTGTTGTTGCTTCTTTATCAAGATCCGGCAACTACAAAAACTTTCGTTTCAATCCAAGCCTTTACAGCTCTTCCCCAAAAAAGACAGCTTATTATGCGAACTGCAAAGGAAACGGTACCAAAACAACGACACACCCAACCGCCCAACCGCTGCGAACCCGCTTGGCCGAACCTTGGCCCACCCAGGTCCCAGAAGGTGCAGACGGCTTCGGAGCACGTGAAGCACCGCATGGCGCGGGGGGGGGCACTACGCTCCGGTCTCGGTGGAGCAGATCCAGAGGAGTCGCAACTCCGCGCTGGCGCTCCAGCAGGTCGCTCGGAAGGGCTGTTGGGAATCCGAAGCGACCTTGTTTCCCTATAGCTCCAGTCGTAGCTTCGTTTCGAAGGTGGGACTGAGGTGGGTGCCAGGAGGGTCCAGTCATACCGAACCTGAGGAGGTACGACTGGAAGCCAATGTAAACCATCGGGTGTGAATTCCCGATGGTTGGTAGTTTAAACAAGCATCTAATACCTGGACCCTCCAAGGGGTGTCCAATGGACTACCCCACACTACCTATAGGCTTCCATTGGGCACCCCTTGGAGGGTCCTGGTAATAGCAGGTTGGAGTGGCGGGTTCATTCTTGTGTATTTGAACCTAAGATGCTCCAAGTATCTTCGAAGCAAGAGACTGACACTGAGCCTCCGGTTAGGAACCAGCCACCGTTTCGATCTACACCGAAACGGCGCGGTACGGTGCGGAAAGCCCGGTAGGGAAAGGCTTGGCCAGGTGGATTCAATTAGATTAGTTTGGTGTGTTTGTGATTTCAATGGGTTGATGACAAAGGAGGGTATGAAGTTATTTTGATGGTTGATGTTCAAAAGATCCCTGCCATTTGGATTGTAACACCTCTCTCACATGTGTTTTTTTTTTTAAATCAATCAACAGTTTTCATATAAAGGATAAGACTGAAAAACGAGAACAAACTTAAAGACAAGAAGAAAGACATACAGACTAAAAAAACACACATGTTAATGCTAGTTTGTTGGTGGGCAGCAAGCAATGAAGGTGGGGGGGTGCTAATAAGCAAGCATCATTGAATGCTCAATTTCACAGGCTTTTGGTTCAGTCTTTCACTGGGCGGCACATCTCCCAACTGAAGCGACTCATTCTTCTACAGGTGCTCATCAATCACACCAATCAGACCTCTCTTCAATCAGACCTCTCGGTCTCTTCGCGCTTTTTCCAAGTCGTCACACTTCCAACATTCTCCACGCCGCCGGACGAACAGCGACGGGAAACGCACAGCCAGCGACGCCGGACGAAAAGCACACCGCCTTCACCGACCGCGACCAGCTTTCAGCGCTGACTGCTCGCGCGCTCTTGCGGCGCGCCTGAGGCTGGTTTCGAGGTCCAATGCTTTCAGCCGCGTCAGGGAGACTTTCACCCCTGCAAGCTGCTGGAGTCAAGGCCTGGGAGTTGAGACTTTCCCCCAAAACCTCGGAGTTGTCGAGGTTGGCAGCGACTTGATGCCGCCCAGGGGTGTATTGTTTAACGGATGTAGACAAAGCCTGAGGATGATTGCATGACATGGGATCAATGTGACATGAAGATTAGATTATTGTTCATGACTTCACAACCATCTAGCCACAGCACCCAACACCTCTGCCAAAATTGTACAGGACATATCGAATATCCTGGATGTTCGGTTAGGATAAAGTGTGTGTTTTTTGCATGTGTTTCATCAACATCATCAACATAGACCGCAGCAGACAGGAACAGACGCTAGTTGCTTGCTGGTTTTCAGCTCCAGGATGTCTTGTGGGCTTTGCCAACATGCTTCAGACAGGGCACACATTTAAATGTATTATAATGTCCAATCAATAAAATAGGAATGAATAAGAACAACAAATCGTTGCATAATTATTGCCACACCCTGAATAGTTTAGTGGGTGGGCATAATGATTAGTTTGTTCGCCCTAGTAACTATATATATTATACAAAAGATATATTCGTATATTCAAGCTTACTTTTGCTGCCCTTTATAAGATCCTTGCTTATCTCTGAGGTTTGCTTGATTCATGGAAATCTTACCTGAAACGGTTGTTTCTCAAAAATACTGGTTACAACGGCTACAACTCACCTCTCTACTCCTACTCCTACTCCTAATCTTACTCCTACTGCTACTACCACTACCACTATGACCACCACCACCACCACCACCAGCACCACTAGCACTAGTTTTGGTGGGCTTGACTCTATTCAGTCTCCCTCGACTGTTGGCTAGGGAAGGGGGGATTCGTTTTGTTACTCAAGATCGAACATTAGTGACCTGGTGTGTTTTCTCCGTTTCGGACGCCTAAATCCATGTCCCTATGGCTCGATTTGAAGAACAGGGATATCAGGCATATCCATCAAACGATATCAGCATGTCCCTGGAGCAACCTTTGTATGCAAAAGAATGCAATACATGTCAAGTGTTTTTGAGCTGTCATGCCAAACAAATGTTGTGTTATGTAATTGTTGTTGTTGCGCTTGTTGGGGATCTTGATGTGCACCTGGTGCAACAGGACACAATCAATATGGGCGCAGAATTGATTAAACCCTACAAGGCACACACTCCAGTTCAACTTTCGGCATTCCAACGTTTCATGAAGGGGCCTTTCTTGGACGCCATGCAACTTTCAAAATTTGACAAACAAGTCTATCTCGGAAATTTGCAGGAATATGGCAGACAACTTTCGGACTTGACATTTGCAGCATATTGACAAACACTGCAGCTTGACCAGACACGATCCAAAGATGATGGCCCAGATGCTTCATGAAAACAGCTGCTCTTTCCCGGTGATTGCGACCTCGTGCTCCTGACCCCCCTCAGATTGATTTGGGTTTCTACTAGCGATTCGGATCCAGGAGACGTTGAAACAGTTTCCTCGGTTCGGGTGGTGTGTGGAACGAACTGTCATCCGCGCCAGGGATGGAACCGCTGAGCTCCCAGATCAAGCCACCCAGTGACGCGCTGCTTGAGCGACTCTCAGCATCGCCCGCGGCCAAAAGGATCGAAGCTCGTGAAGCTCGTTGGGCGATGGGCCCACCGCGATGTGGGCTTTGGACGCACCTCAAAGAAAGAGCGAAAACAGCATCAGTAACAGCTTCAGTTCTCACTTGCATTGAAGGTGGTGAACCTTAGTTTGTGGTTTTTCGTTGATGAAACTACGTGTTTTTGGTCATGTCTCAACTCCCAGCAGTGTTGAAGTCTACACATTCCATCTTCGCGAGTTGGCAAGAAGAAATCCTTTGGGTCCATCGGCATCTCGCTGGAACTCTCTAACAAAGGTATATACTATAGGGCTCCAACCACCTCCTGAGAAGGTGGTTAGGGTGAGTTTGGGGGGTCTAACCACCTTCTCAGGAGGTGGTTGGAGCCCTAGGGTGTATACATGTCAAACCAGTTCAATCTGATTTGGCCACAAAAGATGCCTCCAAAGTGTCACTTTCTCCCATCAACAGTTGACCCATTGCCCACTAACAACCCTTGACGGGACCAGTGGTGCCACAATATAATCAGAATCAGAAGCAACCTTACGAAGGAACCCTCATGACAGGGTCAGAATGACACACCTGGGCGCCCCTGGCAAAAGACTTCGGCAACTTGGCAACCATACTTTCCAGATGCTTCGGTTTTCACAGCCCAACTCCCGGTCCCTCAAAACCTGCAGAGATTGGTTCGACCCCAGACCCCGGGTCCCTGCGGAATCCGGTCGTCGTAGGCGGAACAGTTGGCCCAGCGCATGGTGGGGCTCACTGAGAAGGAATTCTTGGCCTGGAGCCCCGAGAAGGAGGTGAATGCCCAAAACGAAATCCCCCGACTGGTCAAAGAGTTATGCCACGGATCGGTCATAGGTCATGTTCATGGGGTATATAATATTATCATGTAATATCTATAACTCTTCCATTCCCATAGATGGTCTGGGGATTGATGGAGACCGCTGAAAGAGCTTCAAAAGTTGCTACAGCCTCGCCGAGCATCCCAGGCTAACATGCGGGGATGAGGGGTAGGGGTCAAGGGACAAGGAGGAGGCCTTGGGAGGGGTTCCAGTCTCCACACGTTTTTTCCATGCAGCTTGGGCTCGGCCCGTACTTGGGGGAGGCAAACACCCGGGAGCTCTCGCCACCCAAGCGATTCCTCAGTCTCCACTTGGTCAAGCGATGCTTCTCTCGTTAATTCATGTGTTTCTCTCTTGAAATATCTTCTTCATGTTCTTCTTTTTGCCCACCTTGGGACCAGTCTTCTTGAAATTCATGTTGCCATCTTTTGTGATTCAAGTATTTTGCAATCAAGTACGGCGAACATCGTGCAGCCCGGGCCCAATAGTCAGATGTTCACTCCGAGCTCAGTCAGATTTCATCATAAGGCTTCAGGTGATCGAATCTGGAGAACGAGGAGAACACACCAAGATGAGACTGTCACTCCAAACAAGTTGCTATATACGCGACCGCGAGATTGTCACTACGGCGCCGCATGTTCAGCCTCGCCAACATAGCCTTAGGTTGAGATCTTCTAGGGATTTCGGCCCAAAAAACAACAGAGAGGCTCGGAGCATTGGATGCGGTCGACGCCGGACGTCCTCATCTGACCGATCCCCATGGCACGCACGGGCGCGGAGCGCGCGGGCGCCCGATTGCGCCCGCACCACTTAGACCATCGCCAACGAGACCTTCACTGAGTCCGGAGAGCTCAGAACGAGTTTGGGGCTTCAGCGGAACATCCCTTCATCTCCCCTAAACATCCAGTCGTACCTTCGGTTCGGTGAGGACGGAGACACTGTTCATGTATAGGTGCCAGGAGGGTCCATGACTGTCCATGATCACATCAGAATACCTCTACCAGCACCCTCCAACAGGTGGTGACCTAAAAGTCGCAGGTGGTGACCTGTTGGAGGGTGCTGGTACTTCTGGAGCTCGGTGACCCACATTGGAAATAGTGCCTTTATGTATTATTGCAGTTCTTTGGTCAACTTGATTGACCATCCCGAACTCGGTGACCCACATCGGGCATAAGGCCTTTATGCATTGCACCTCTTTGGCGAACTTGACCATCCTGAACTCGGTGACCCGCATCGAGTATCATGCCTTTGCTGATTGCATCTCTTTGGCGAACTTAACAATCCCGAACTCAGTGACCCACATTGGAAAATGCCTTCATGTCTTGCAGTTCTTTGCAGCAAAAGTGGATTACCTGCCTAACCTTTTTGGGATTCGATTCCCAACCATAAGGGCTCCAGGTACCTTCTCAGAAGATATGACTGGACCCTCCTGGCACCCACCTCAAACACCTTCTTAGAAGGTACTTGGAGCCCTAGGGTAAGTGCATGAACAGGTGGTTTCAGTTTGGTTCACCTTTCTATTCTCCATGGGACACGGCTCGGGGGTCACCCTGACTTGATTTCCCTTTGTGGGCAAAGCTCGAGCCATCCCGACCCATCCCGGGAAGACGACCTCAAGAGCAGCGATGCAGCGCTGCGGTGCAGCTCCTTCGCTGGTTGGTCGATCCGCCCCCGGTCGGACGTTCGGTGGATCCGCCGCACCAGTTGGTCCAAGTGGAGTTGAGTCGATGGAAATGGCTAGACTCCAAGTGGACCTTCCGGAGGTCTGACCTGACGCACTGCCTGCATGCATCGGGCTTCGACTTCAGTGGCATCGACTCGTTTGGTCCCATTTCTCCCATGTCTCGGTCGTTCGGAGTACCCATGGGTCCCCAGCCCGGGGTTCCATACGGGTCCCTCATGCGACAGCGACACGGGATTCCCAAAGAAAAACAACCACGAACAGATCCGCTGTTGAGCTGTTTTTTAAAATCTGTCAGCAGTTGGATCAAATCAATCATTGAACACCCAGCCGTCGACTTTCCGTCAAGTCCGGGTTCATTCCAAGCTCAAGCCTCAAGCTGGTGGCAATTTGTTCATGGTTCTGGTGCGTCACTGGGCTGCCGTAGCCCAGGTGTTTCCCCAAAGGTGAGATGTTTGAAGTAAAACACGAACCCTAGGGATCCAGTCGTACCTTCTCAGGTACGGTGATGTGTTCGACACTGTTCTGTAGGTGCCAGGAGGGTCCAGTCGTACCCTCTGAGGTTCGGTACGACTGGATCCCTCGGGGAAGACGACCAACGACGGCACGGGTTCTTCGAGCCGTCCAATTCTTCGCGCAAGGGGTGCGACCCCACGGCGTTCAAGTGCGACCCGCGCTTTCCAAAGAAGGAACCCAAAGGCTTTGGAATAGATACATTTACCTCATGAACGTGACCATCATCCCATGGTAGCATCACTCTGCCAGTCTCATTTGTTGGGTCTGGTCTGGGAAAGAACGCACCCATTTCAGGCTGGGCTTCTTCAGCAACAAGGAGTCGGTCGACAAGAAACGCACGGTGACGGTACCCAGATGGTGCAGAACGGCGCAGCCACACGCTTCTCTTCTGCGCACGTCACCTGCGCTGGATTTGTCAGCGGCGAAATCGGGGTGGCGCAAGTAAAGTATTTAAGTCTCCAGGACTCCAGTATTTGAAGGTGTGTAGATGACCCTCGCCGTGGTTTGCCTTAAGCTTTGTTTTTGTTCTGGGTTTTCCTGCCAGTATTTGGATGTTTTGGTGTGGACACTCTGACCATGTGCAGTGAGTCATGGCGAGAATGCTTCACCTTTGAACCAATGCAAACACACGCGCACGCCGCTCCATGTAAGGAATATAGACTATAGACCTATACAGTAGACCTACAGTGACCCGTGCAACGACCCCAATGTAATCCAATGTAGGTAAATCTGTCACACATTCGATTTTTTTAAAGACATATTTGGAGTCTCAAAGTACCTCGGACAGTGGGTACAAGTACCTGTTTTTTAGGGGGGCATGTTCCATTTTCTAAGGTACTTTGGAGGGTCCAGGTATATGGAAATATCATGCTTCTCCGTCGAGTCTTTCAGAAAAAAGTGTGCAACAGATCCCGGTGTGGCGGTGCTTTTCTTCATGCGCATCAAGCGCGTCAGTGGGATCAGGTGTCGCCTCCAAACAAAGAAGCTCCTGTCTTCCCTTTTGCCAATCTATAGGTACCTCTATAGGTACCCAACGAATCAGAGCTCAAGTTTGCTTTCCAACAATTGCTGCTCTTAGGGGTTTAGGAAAGGCGATTCAGAATCCTGAGGATTCTGTTTGCTGTTGGCACACAGCTAGGCTATGCTAGGCTGGCTGACAGCTAACAACAACCCATCAGGTTGTTTGATGCTATTTCCATAGATGCGAACGCTGCGAGTCCAGATTCCTCATTCTTATAGCAAGATATGGACAGTATGGTCGAGAACTTGGCTGTTGGGAGGGACGTTGTGGGACACAAGATTTGGGATGTTTTGGGCCTTTTCAAGTGTTCAATTCAGTGAGTTCGTTTGGATCTTCCAGGTTACTCCACTCCTGATTCTCAAGTTTGAAGATCTTTGTCCAGGTGGGAGCTTTGCTGGCCGTTTTTTTGGATCGTCGCGAACCAATACGACCAGTTTGGGCCTCAGACAGGGTGGACCACTCTTCAGTATCACACCGAAGGTGTCAACTGTCTAAGTGATCCATTGCAGGAAGCCTGAATAAAACCATCACCAATGTGGGGGGATTTGGAGAGAGGCCGTGAGGCCGAGAACCACCCCAGTGAGGCAAAGATAAAACGACTCACTGAGAGCCTCGGCTGATGTGTGATGCTTGGTTGGTGTGAAGACCCAGCTTCTTTCAGTTCATGACCTGGCTGTGGAGTCTCTAGTGAACTTTGGTTTGAGGCTGTGACCGAACCAACCAGGGGATCAAGTTCTTTTACACGAACTGAAGAAGCGGGACTGAAGAACACTCCCTGTTGGTATGGCCTAACTTGTTGTCTAACCAGTGCATCCACTCTTGGCCTCTTGTGCTTTTGATCCGGCCGTGGCCTTGGCTTTGGCCTACACACCGCGCGGCGGAGTGTGGTTCTGATCGGCCGCACTTCTGGCCGCCTCGAAATCGCACATCGCGCGGGGTTGTTTGATGCACTGTGCTCCAGGTTCAAATCAAAGCCGGGTTTCGTTTCCTTTTGCGGATGAATCCGGAGCCCTGCGTGTGAATCCCC